AAATGACTGGAATTCGACTGTGATATTGTCTTCGATAAAAAAAGTTAGGCAAGAAATGAACTTGATGGAAGAAGAAGCAATGACTTCGATAATGGGAGACTCTGGTGGTTTTAGCGATTTCAAATGCCCATTGGAATATGATGCTTCATTCAATAGAACTCTAGGTGGGAATGGATGAGTGATGTCAAGAATCTGGTACGGAATGCTATAGATCTGTCCCAAATAATATGAGTAGGGTAAGTTACTGACCATTTTGCAAGTAGGCAAGATTTTGCTATCGGCAGAACTTTGAGACAGACATAAATAATTAGGAACACTGTTCCACTAAAGGGAGGATAGTCCCAGGACAACCAGGGAGGTCAACATACGAGTACTGAGGCGGCTACAAAATATCAACTATATGGGCGGATTCAAACTGTTTTGGAGACGTTAAAGTTATATTCCACCCAGGCAGTGGATACGATGGGTTTGTTGAGTACTACTTAGTGTCTATGACCTCCAAAAGGCTGAAAACGTATTTTACGTCCAGCCTATTCGAATAAGAACAAATTGTAATGTGAATATAGCATTAGTAACAATAGGTACAACGTTTTGAAATATTGTCAGTACATAGCGTAGTATTTGGTAGATGAAATCAAGAATACCAGCTGTTGACTTAAAAGACAAGATAGCGGTAGAAGCTTCCTGTTTAGATCTAATTTCTATATTGAAGGAGAGTGATAAAGCATGTTTAAAGATTGATGGTGTTTGGCATGGATTGGATCAAATATTACATTTGCTCCCTAGGATCTTTGGAGATGTTAAATTGGGAACCGTTGGTTTATCATTACCATAATGGTACCTGTTAATACGAGGCTATGCTTCTAAATTGACAGCATATGAAAGGAAAACGTCTAACTTACTGCAATCTATTTGCAATGAGCAATATTATCACAATGCAATAGATCGGTGGAGGTTTGAAAGTTAACAAAAGAACTGATTAGTTTAGACTGAAAAGTTTAGGGTGCTCTGTGAATATTACAACCAAACACGGAAAATTTACTATGGAGTGTGATCTAATGTGGGACGAGCACATCAAATTGTTTGAAAGTAGGATCTAATGTAGAAAAATATGATGGCTACTACAGGTTAGCTAGAAAGTTCGATAACATTTATAGCTTGGGAACAATAGCAAAAAAGAGAAGCACATCATACACGAATGTGTGGAATTTATTGATATCAGAGTTTGATGACACCAATAGTACTTTCTGTCTTACTCAGAGCACTGATAAGTGAAAAGAAGCCTTTGTTAAAAAGAGGTTCCAGGTCAAATAGACAGGGGTTCACTTTTTTTTACTCAGCAGAGTCAACGAAACTTTGTAGTTGCTGACCAGCCATTATGGTCAGTCTATTAAAGATAAGTGTCGGATAGTTATATCAGGTGAGATATTAGTAGCGATAAACAACCATGGCAGTACAGGTGTTTTGGATGATGGGGACCACTCTGTTTGAATACAATAATTTGTATGAGAATTGGTACGAGGATTTGATGAAATTGAATAGATTACGACAAGAAAATAAAAGCACAGAGTTTCTTTACATGTCGACCTAAGAAGAAGCCCAAGAAAAAATGTGTAGATAAAGGAAAAATTAACTTATTAAAAGGCAGTGATCAGAAAGAATTCAATGAGCAGAGCCATTGCTTTGTTCAGTTTGTGGACGTAAAGACTAGAATAGCAGATTACATCCTATTGAGCAATTTGATTGCAAAAGCAATTCTCAAACTGCATCGTCGTGGAAATTAAGACGACACGCGATCAGAAGAAATAATTGAAGAAATAATTTCAGATCAAGAATCTTTCATCGATCCTGAAACTGATAATTCTGATGACTCGAAATTATTCGCGCCAATACGAAAGAAAATACGCGTACTTTCATTTTCGGATGAGTCTGAAGACGATATTCTTATGGATGGAACTACGCGGTCACCGGATCAGCAGAACTATACTGCCAAAAGGGGTAGAAAATGGTCACCTGACGGACAAACAATTCCAGCGGGAGAATTTTCTTCAGATTTTGGTCCGACTCGCTACATCACAGATTTGCCAGTCCCATTATCATATGACGTATGCTGCACATTTTTTATTGAGGACATTATTCAGTCCATCGTTTTTCAAACGAATTTATACGCAGTACAGCAAGGCAAAAGATTCAAGCCAACTGATGACCAAGAAATTTGCGCATTTATTGGTATAAATTTTCTAATGGGAATCAATAAACTCCTGAGTTACAGAGATGCCTAGAGCTCTAAACCATATTTACGGAATGAATACAAATGTCAAATAATGAATGTAAATCGTTTTAGGTGGCTTCTCAGCCATATGCATCTAAATGATAATAGCTTAACTCCAGCAAGAGAAAGTGCCAACTATGACTATAAACTGTACAAAATTCGTTCATTTTTAGACAAGATACAAGAAAATTTAAAAAAAAAATTATAGTCCTGGACTCAGTTTAGCGATCGATGAATCTATGATAAAATTTAAACTTCATAGTTCGATCAAACAATATCTTCCGAAAAAACCAATCAAAAGAGGATACAAATTATGGCTTCTGGCAGATAAATCGGGTTATTGCTACAGATTTGATGTATATACTGGAAAAGTTGGCAATCAAATAACAAAAAATCTTGGTGAAAAAGTTGTGAATATTATTACTTCGGATTTAGTTGGAAAAGAACATAAAATTTATTTTGATAATTATTTTAAAAGTGTAAATTTATTAGAAAACTTAAAATCTAAACAAATCAATGCTTGTGGCGTTGTTAATAAAATGAGAAAGTATTTGCCATCCTTCAGTATAAATATGAAAAATCGAGGAGAATATGAATCATTTGTAAATGATACGGGAATAATAGCAACACGGTGGATAGGCAATAAGCCCGTCCTCTTTCTTTATATTTTCATAGTCCAAATTAACTTTCCATAGTATATAGAAGAAATCGTATGGGGATTAGAAAATCGATCAATCTTTGATCGCGATCTTCTTTGATCGCGGATTATAATGATAATATGAATGCAGTAGATAAATTTGATCAATTAATGTCTAATTACAGCCTTGATCGTTGGAGTAGGAAATGGTGGCACCGCATATTCTTTTATTTCCTTGACGCATGTGTTGTTAATGCATATATTTTATATAAACAATTGGGTAAAACAATTACATTAAAAGTATTTAAAGGACAATGTGCCGAATGATTTATTAGTCAAACATTTATAGATAATAGCGCACTAACTAAGTGTATCAATAACTTAAATTATCAGTCCAAATACGGAAACACAAACCTAATGTTTCATTAGAAATAAGAAAGTGCGATTCAAAACATTTACCAGACCGTTCGTCTCGTAAACGATGTACACTTCGTAGTACAAAAAAAAAGGAGGTTCGAACACTCTGGTCTTGTACTGTGTGCAAAGTGCCCCTGTGCGTGGGAAAAGATGTGTTTAACAAGTACCATACATAAACTCCTTGAGGCACGGTGGGACTATTTGAGCCACATCCAATAACAACAAATTTAATTAACTATTACTATTTTGTTACGTTTTTACATGATGTTATACCTATATTAATAAAAATATACCAATTTTGTTTCATCTAAAACTCGATAAAATTCCTGTGCAACATCGATCTATTTTTTATCTGAAATCCTGTGCCTCAAAGAGATATTCCAGCATTCTCACAGAACACATTGTAAAATACTGCAAGCTATGCGCCCGTTTAAGACAAACAGGACTGAAATTACAACTGGAAGAATCCAACTTTTTACGAAAAGTAGTAACTTACCTAGGGCATATCATTAGCTCCGCCGGAGTGAAGCCGGATCCAGGAAAATAAAAGCGGTACGATATTTTCCTGTACCCAGAACACCAAAGAACATAAAACAATTTTTAGGATTAGCAGGCTACTGCTGACAGTTCATACCAAATTTCTCTGCCATGAGTAAACCACTAACAAATTTATTAAAAAAGGACGTAGCTTACGTATGAGATAATCAGAAAAAAGCATTCAAAACATTGGTAAATTTATTATGTCAGGAACCTCTATTTCAATACCCAGATTTTACGAAATCTTTCATCGTTACAAATAACGTTTCAAATTATGCGATCTAAGAAATCTTAAGCCAAGGTGAAATACGAACGTTGAAATAGTCAAATGAAAAAACTTGTTCGATTAAAAACGAGACAGCCCATGATTATTACAGACACGCCCGGGAAGGCGTTTGACAAAATCTCTTTAGACATCGTCGGTCCGATGCCCACTACGAGAACAAAAAATAATTATATATTAACTATTCAAGATCTGCTTAGCAAATATTTTCTCGCGATTTCTCTCCAACAAGCTTCTTCAGAGGAAGTCGCATTCATAAAAAATGTAATATGCCGTTTTGGATCATCAAAAAGAATCTTGACTGACCAGGACAATGATTTTATTAGAACTAATGAAAGCAGTAGCGAAGAAGTTTCAAATAAATCACCATCACACTAACGCGTATCACCAGCAAACAAATGACTTCATCAAACGTTCTCACCACGTACTCATCGAGATCCTCAAGCACTTTATTACCAAAAATAACGATTGGGTTAATTGGGTCGACATAGCAATGTTCTCCTATAATACGAGCGTACACGAGGGAACGTAGAACAATTATATTTGGTCAACTAACTAGAACACCCAACGAGTTCACCTACAATGACTTACAGAATGAAACATACGCGAATTATTTGGGCGTATTAAACGAACAGCTCAACAAATCTCAAGAGGCAGCAAGACATAATTTAATCTGTTCAAAATATAAAGCAAAAACGTACTATAACAAAAGGTAAAGAGTCGTTAATTTTAAAGTAGATGATCAACTATATCTTTTAAAAAGAACGCAAAAGGGAAAATTCGATAATAAATATATAGGACCATTTGACGTCATAAAGATCAAGGAGAAAAATAATATAAAAATATGTACTCACAAAGGTAATTGTGTAGTACACACCAACCGATGAAAACTCAATAAGCTAGTTTAATTTCCAAGCTCGATAAGTCGACATTATGGAAATCTGCATCACCGACTCGCGGTTTCAATAGCGCAGCATGGAGCAACAGTCGCTCTCCTTTCCATGATGACGATTGATAAGGCGGATTCCCACCAATTCGATAGTCGATAAGAACTAGCATATCAGCAGCGCAAACTGGACTGTATTACATCCCGCTCCTTTCTCATACGTAACAATTAAAACCTGTAAATAAAGAACCTTCTTTTATATTACTATGTAAAGGAGAAAGGGGGACACCTTACGCTTATGCACTATATAAATTTTTTTAATATTTTCATTTTTTTTTAGTCAAAACGTACATATATATATATATATATATATATATATATATATATAACTAACATTATTATATGACACATTCGAGCCCGACATAAAGGGAGTATCTTGTAATACAAATTAACGCTATTATAAAAAACACAATAACAAATAAGACATAACATGTAAGCGGCACAGAGACGAAAGATACCTGAAAAGGTCATAAAAAGCGATGCCGAACGCCGGGAAAAGGAAAAGGGATACAGGAGCCCAAGGAAGTCGAGGAAGCGAGATCACCGCTCAACGTACATATTCTCCGGGTGGAGATATCCCCAATTTCGTCCCCACAAAAGCGATATCAAATTCCAGGAAAGTGAAAGGGACGCAGAAAACTAAGAAAGTAAGGAAAAGAAACTATCACTAGACGTACATGCTCTCCGCATTGGAAATCTCCAAATTTCCATCTCCACCACAGGACCACGATAGCGGCAGATTCAACCCTACTACGCGCGACGGCTTTATCCTCACGGCGGCACTACTTCGAATCGCCTACCGCAGATCAACGAAGGATAAAAACAGCTGCATCGCACGATTCCACGGTTATTTGACAATATTCTTCACCGTGGACATTTCTCTCCTTTCGGTTATTCGAAATCAATTTTCGACGACTAAGTCTCACTTTTTATACATAGAAAATTCTTTTCACACTGTACTTTAAAATTAATAAATTAGTTTGTTAAATTTAAAATCAGTGTCGTTCAATTAACCCCGGCTGTGCAGACAACCTCGCGTAAATCCTAAGTCTTAAATTCTCTCGCAATCTTCTTGTTACACAGTCGACAAGTTCGAAGCTCAAGCTTCCTTCTATTCAAGTGAAAACCTTTTCACCTTAGTTATTCTTTTACTATCGGTGCGTACGAATCGCACGAGTAAAAAGTAATAACATCCTCACCCCAATAACTATAGGTGCATACGAATTGCACGAGTTATCGTAACCTCATCCTACACCCGACAACTATAGGTGCGTACGAATCGCACGAGTTGCAGTAACCGCATCCAACCCCGATAACTATAGTTCTTTCTAAACCTCGACCGACGAAACATACTCACATGTCGATAGGAAAATGATAGAAATTAAGGGTAGAATAATCATGCATAATGGCAATATTGCTTTTTTCACAACAACCACCGGAACATCGATCGACATAGGCGCAAAGGAACTCACCGACAATAACAAACTACTTATCATTACTGACACAACGTTCGGAAGAGTGAAAATTACTAAAATGGGTAGAAGATATCTAATAGCATTACCCGTCAAGGAGAGAATATCGCTTTCAACGCAATTAGAAAACTTAGATGAAGTCCTTCATTCTTTTCTCGACGCGGCGATCGAATTACAGTTAAAAACCATCGCGATCACTAAAGGACCAATGGGCGATATACCCTGGGCCAACGTAAAACAAAAAATTTACTCAATTTTCTTAGGAAGCGAGACGAAAATTATTGTACTAAAACACGAAATTGTAATACTTAAGGAGATTGAACGAATAGGCATTATATACGATAATCACTCGACACCGTTAGGCGGACACAAGGGTGTTTCTAAAATTTACCTAAAGATTAGACAAAAGTATTATTGGCAGAACCTGAAGCGAGATATACAAAATTTTATACAACAATGTAAAAGCTGTCAGACGAAGAAACTCGTCAGACTAAAGACTCATCAGCCTATGACTATCACCGATACACCCGGGAAGGCGTTCGATAAAATATCAATGGATATCGTAGGTCCACGTTATCGTTACGATTATCGACCACGAAATCCGAGAAAAATTATATACTAACAATTCAAGACCTTCTTACTAAATATTCATTGGCAATTCCTCTTTGACAAGCTTCTTCGGAAGAAATAGCAGATGCGTTTATAAAGAACGTAATATGCCGATTTGGCTCTCCAAAAGGCATCATAACTGATCAAGGCTCTAATTTTCTGTCGGAACTAATGAAAGTAGTAGCTAAAAAGTTTCATATCCACCAGTACCAGACGAGCGCGTATCATACCCAGTCGAACGGCTCGATCAAACGATCGAGTATCTTGTTCTTATTGAATTCTTAAAGCATTTTATTACCGATAATAACGAATGGGACGAATGGATCGAAATAGCAATGTTTCCGTATAACATGAGTGTACACGATGGAACGCTATATACACCACACGAGTTAGTATTTGGTCAATTAGCATGAACACCTAATGAATCTATATATAATGACTTACAAAACAAAACTTACGTACACTATTTAGGAACTTTGAACGAACAAATAAATAAATTGCAGGAAGCTGCAAAACAAAACCTTATTAATGCTAAAAACAGATCGAAAAAGTATTATGACAGAAAGCAGAGAGTCGTAAATTTCAGGGTAGGAAACAAAGTATATCTCCAGAAAGGATCACGAAAGGGTAAATTCGACGACAAATACATAGGACCGTTTGAGATAGTCGAAATTCTAAGCAAGCATAATATAAAGATACGTACCAACATTGATGACCGTGTGGTACACGCCAATAGACATAAAGTCGATAAGTCAAGATAATGATTGACATTATGGAAAGCTATGATACCAATAACGGGTTCTTTTTCAGCGCAGCATGGCGCAACGATGCTCTTCCTTCCATGATGACGATTGATGAAGGTGGCCCCCCACCATAGGTTAAAGAAAATAGAATATAGGAAGCTGCGAATATAACAACGGCATCAGTTGCTTCTTAGACACTCTACACGATAGAATAAGTCAAAATTTCGACGAATAATGTATCTAATAAACACTTATATACTTATACTTACCTTAGCGAGATCAACGCCAGCACTAGTACGATATGATTGCGCCACGCAATCTTTGAATATCACTTTGTACTCTCTCTTGGATATAGCGGACTGCGAGATCCCGAACTTACTACCAACTAACAACACTGTATACGTACAACTACTACAAACCGCCGACTATAACACAGTAAGGGTTCTACAATGTCGTGTAGAAATAGATCGCACGATATTCCACTGTGGCATGCACTCGCACACATCCATAGTTCACAACGGATGCCGAGAGTATTTGTTCACGCTGACACATCAGTTGTGCCAACAGTTACATTCTACAGGCACTTTCTTTCTCGGACCAAACGTATTTATCTTCGGAATAAAAGAGAATAGCACCGATACAAGGAGCATCACTTTGAGTGGCACCACGACACAGATGGCACGTGTAAGAGCTCACAATATTGTGACTTTTACGAAACATGGGATGACGTAGTGGTACAAGCATCCGTCAAGATCACATTACGGGACTACTACGCCACTGTAAAAATGAAAACCAACCAGGTGCACCTACAGTCAGGAACCGCCTGTGCATTGGACGAGGAAACCTGTCTCGACTCAGATGGAAGCGAGACGTACTGGTCAAATATACCCACCGATAGTTGTGGCTTTAACGAGTACGAGGTCCTTTACGAGGGGCCCGCAACAAAGCTAACACCCGCTGAGTCGCTGCAAGGACTCACATTGTATACGGTAACAACAAAAGATGTCACCTTCGCATTAACAAGAACGAGCGATATCATCCTGTGCGGATAAACATCGCCGGGAAGAACGTTCAAAGGTAAAATGAAAACCTCCGTAGAAAATTTGGACACCTTCGCATAAATTTAAAATTTATTTACGTAGAAAGACACCTTAAGACGCAACTAAACACTCTATACATCGACACCACTCGACAAAAATGCATGTTAGAACAACAAGTACTTAAAAACGCTCTTTCGCTGGCAACGCTAGCACCTGATGAAATGGCTTACGCCCTAATGAAACAACCGGGTTATATGGCTGTCATTGCAACAGAGGTAATCTATATCATAAAATGTGTTCCGGCAGAAGTCAGGATAAGATAAACCGAGGACTGTTATAAAGAACTATCAATAACATATCAAACTGAATCTTATTTTCTCTTGCCAAAAACGCGCATCATCCTGAAAGAAGCATCTCCAAAAGACTGTAACGAGTTGCTGCCCAATATGTACAATTTGCATGGAACATGGTACAAGGTGACGCCAAAATTAGTAGAATCAATACCCCTGCCAGTGATTCAACCGTTAACGAAGTCGAAATGGAGGTATATCGATCCAGAACACTTAGGAATGAGTGGAATCTATTCCAACGAAGACCTAAATAAATTAAGATCTCACATAATGGAACCGGCTGAAAAACCTGCTATTATCGATACGCTCGCCAGAGGAATCAACGGAAGGAATATACCCTTTGGAAAAATCTCACTATATAACCTAATGGACGAAGAATCTTTAAACAAAATCGCATCAAATACGGCGCAAAGACTATAGAACGTGTTCATTACGTTTGAGTCAGCAAGCGCCAGAGTTTCAGCTATCTCTATGGCCATACGATTGGTGAAATTCATCATCGATACACTCATCCACGATTATGCCCTGCATGACATATACGGATGGAGTTTACATCTTTTAGGAGCACTATGGAGCTCGGTGACTCATCTTCTTCTACACCTAGGAAAACGAGAAAAGAAAGAAAAAACTCCGACAAGTACGGTACCAGAGGCTGCAAACACCGACGAAGAAAAAAGAGAGTACGATGCTGATGAAAGAAATAAAACATTTTACAAATTAAATACTTACCTAAGTAAGGAAAGAAGCTAAAATGCACGTGTAATTACGCACATTTTCTAATAAGGGAGGAAGTGTTACATCCCGCTCCCTTCTCATACGTAACAATTAAAACCTGTAAATAAAGAACCTTATTTTATATTACTATGTATAGGAGAAACGGGGACACCTTACGCTTATGCACTATACAAATTTTTTTAATATTTTTACATTTTTTTAGTCAAAACGTACATATATATATATAACTAACATTATTATATGACACATTCGAACCCGACATAAAGGGAATATCTTGTAACACAAATTAACGCTATTATAAAAAACATAATAACAAATAAGACATAAACATATAAGCGGCACAGAGACGAAAGATACCTGAAAAGGTCATAAAAAGCGATGCCGAACGCCGGGAAAAGGAAAAGGGATACAGGAGCCCAAGAAAGTCGAGGAAGCGAGATCACCGCTCAACGTACATATTCTCCGGGTGGAGATATCCCCAATTTCGTCCCCACAAAAGCGATATCAAATTCCAGGAAAGGGAAAGGGACGCAGAAAACTAAGAAAGTAAGGAAAAGAAACTATCACTAGACGTACATGCTCTCCGCATTGGAAATCTCCAAATTTCCGTCCCCACCACGGGACCACGACAGCGGCAGATTTAACCCCACTACGCGCGACGGTTACATCCTCACGGCGGCACTATTTTGAATCGCCTACCGCAGATCAACGAAGAATAAAAACGGCTGCATCGCTCGACTCCACGGTTATTTGACAGTATTCTTCACCGGGGACATTTTTCGATCTTTCTCATTTTCACGGAGATTTAAGAGTAGCGTCATCCAGGAACGCGAGCAACCGCAAAGCATTACCTTACCGTCTCGTGCCAATCACCATAGAGAGCACCATCTACATCCCGAGAGATTTAGCGCCATTCGATCTTAGGGCAAAGAACGATCCGGAGGTTCCTGTCAACGTTGCCGAGCCAGGAGACCGCGAATAGGTGTCTATCCCGTGCCACGAACTGCGTGTAGCAAGTAACGGCCTAAAAGGACACAAATCTCACAAAGATTGGAGCTCCTCAAGGTAAGTTCAGAACAAAAAAAATTTTGAGGCCCGAACCGAGTGGGACGTAACACATTCCAGGTAATAATTCTTTATCTTAATCATTCCAAAGTTCTCTATATTAATCCCTGTACTTGCAGTAATATACATTATTCTTCACGTCGTGCTCTTCGACTTATCAGTATTTACAGATAATACTATATTACTAATATTTTTTACATAATATATTTGGAATTCCATCTGTCAAGTCAGTCTTCTGAAATGATATCTGACTAAAAAAAATAAGAATTCCGATGATGAAAAGAAAACTCTCTTCTGCGGAAATGCAATATATTCTAATAAATGAAAAGTAAAGAAATATTGGTACACTAGGATGTAATCGTTCGTTATTCGAATGGTAGACGCTGACTACCTTTTTAGGACTTCTTTTCTTTTGTCCGATCTTTGTCTTAGCGTGAAACGTACGATCGCTATTCGGCTATTTACATTATTGGGCTGCTGCCTTACATTTCCCTTGCATACGTTACTCCTCGCATCACACTCTCTATTTCATATTTATATAAATATTTCATATTTACCAGTTCAACTCAGCGATTCATTTGCTGAATTATAAACTTTATGAAAATTGTGGCAACTCGGATGAAAAATTTTCCACAATGTATGCAATTAATATATAATAATAAATTAAATATAATTAATAAATTAAAGCTGGGATTTTATTTCCTTTCTACACTGCCTACATATCTGTATCCCAAACTGCGAGATATCCATTTCTCATTGTTAAATTTTTCCTTATCAGCTATTAATTCGTATCACATTAAACGTAATCAACAGCAGCAGCATTGCTCGATGAGTCAGTAAGAGAATTCTTTAAATTTTCGTCATCGCTCCGATTTTGTAGGATTTGGTAAAAAGACTATTACAGGCTGCCTAATTGGTTTTGCAGGATGCTAGACTGGCTAATAGAATGTTAAATGACTGGAATTCGACTGTGATATTGTCTTCGATAAAAAAAGTTAGGGAAGAAATGGACTTGATGGAAGAAGAAGCAATGACTTCGATAATGGGAGACTCTAGTGGTTTTAGTAATTTCAAGTGCCCATTGGAATATGACGCTTCATTCAATAGAACTCTAGGTGGGAATGGATAAGTGATGTCAAGAATCCGGTACGGAATGCTATAGATCTGTCCCAAATAATATGAGTAGGGTAAGTTACTGACCATTTTGCAAGTAGGCAAGATTTTGCTATCGGCAGAACTTTGAGACAGACATAAATAATTAGGAACACTGTTCCACTAAAGTCGAACAACCAAGGAGAACAACATACGAGTACTGAGGCGGCTACAAAATATCAACTATATGGGCGGATTCAAACTGTTTTGGAGACGTTAAAGTTATATTCCACCAAGGCAGTGGATACGATAGGTCTGTTGAGTACTACTTAGTGTCTATGATTTCAAAAAGGCTGAAAACCTATTTTACGTCCAGCCTATTCGAATAAGAACAAATTGTAATGTGAATATAGCATTAGTAACAATAGGTACAACGTTTTGAAATATTGTCAGTAGATAGCATAGTATTTGGTAGATGAAATCAAGAATACCAGCTTTTGACTTAAAAGACAAGATAGCGGTAGAAGCTTCCTGTTTAGATCTAATTTCTAAATTGAAGAAGAGCGATAAGATACTGCATGGCTATGACAAATGAAGGAGTTCGCATTAATAAGGAGATTGAAGTGAGTGATACCGTTTTGTCAGTTAAGCGATGGAGATGATGGTATCTGTGATGATCACCATAAAAGATTGGGCAAAGTCTATAATCAATAACCTAAAAGAAGTATTGAGCTTGCAAAAGAAGAAGATCAGAAATGGAGAAAATTCAGATGTCTACGTGTATGGAAGCTTTATACAATGAAATTGATTATTGTAGCTACGAACGTGTAAACATTACAGATAAAATTTTGTGGTTATCAACAAACCCTGTAAGTGATATTTTATCAAAAATGAGACTAACTATCAAAGTGGGTATATCAATTTGGGAATGACAAAACGACAATATCTTGGAAGTAATGAAGTGCAAGTAACTTAGCCATTTGTTAGTGTATCCTTACATATGCAGTATAAAATATTAATGTCTCAACTTGTTAAGCGTGACGGGATATGGAAAGATTAGATGGCCATAGAAGAAGGGCCAAAATTCCATAGGAGGTAGGAGTGCAGAATTGTTTAAAAATAGTTGCAGCTATTGGAAAGTGTGTATGGCGTAAATAATTTAGATAAATAAAAGGTTTAATAGCTTATAAGAAAGAAACGTGTGAAATGTTATTTTTAAGCAAAATGTCAAACATAATTAATAGTATATGCAGGATTAATATTAGAGAGTACTTTACTTTAATATATAAAATTATAATATTGTTAGAAGTGTATCAGCCTAGTATTCTGATTCGGGAAACGTATATACAAAGCATTTCTGCAGATATGTTGTAACGTGAAAGGATGTTAATATTGAAGGTTAGCGTTTGATTGTGGAGATGAAAGACGCAAGCGAGTATGTGAAGCTTTGATAAACGATGGGCTGAAGAGAAAGAATGAAAAGGTTTCTTAAGTAGCGTAAGAAATAGTATAGATTTAGTGAATAAGAATAATGTTACACCGAAAAGAGAAAAGGAGGAGAGGGAGAGAGAGAGAGAGAGAGAGAGAGAGAGAGAGAGAGAGAGAGAGAGAGAGAGAGAGAGAGAGAGAGAGAGAGAGAGAGAGAGAGAGAGAGAGAGAGGAGAGGATAATTCTCTTCAATATTCTAATCTTTTAAACCCTTTCGCTCCGACGCCTTCGAAGAAGGACCATTCATGTACGAAGAGCGTATATATACGCTCTGAAAAAATGGGCGCTCGGGTACGAAGAGCGTGCATATACGTTCATACCATATATACTTTGATTTTATACTTTACTTGAGATACTTTTGTTAATTAATACTTTTGAGATGTTTTTATCCATTCCGCAATTTTTGTATAGATGAAAGCTTAACGTTTTATTTAAAGGCCGGTTACCATTTAAACAATTCATTCCTGCTAAACGATACAGATTCGACATAAAGTCTTCTGTATTATGCGACTGCTTGTCAGGCTACATTTAAAATTTTATTGTATATACAGGAAAAACTACACATTCCGACGGACAGTCCAATGAAAATTTAGGAAAATCAGGAAGTGTCGTTATGATACTCTTCAACAAGGCCATACCGTATTTGTCGATAATTGGGTATGCAAGCCCCGCTTTATTTGCAAAATTACAACATCATAAAACAAATGCTTGCGGAACGGTAAAAAAGACCGTAAAAATATGCCCATAATTTCCAATCATTTAAAAAGAGACGAGATATCATTCCGTTCGTGCAATAATTTATCAACATAATTGAAGTGGCAAAACAAACGAGATGTTTGGATGATAAAAACTTGCCAATTGGCTGACATTGTTGATACAACTAAGATAGATTATCGTACAGGATTGCCAATACAAAAACTGACCTGCGTCATTGATTATAATGCCAGTATGGGAGCCGTTGACAAAATTGATATGGTTTTAAAATCTGTTGAATGTAGTCGTAAAAGTTTAAAATAGTACAAAAAAAATTTTTTTCACGTGCTAAACATGGTTGTGTGGAATGCATATTGTTTATTCCAATCAGCAACTGCGACAAAATAACCGTTGCCAAATTTCATTTAACTCTTATACGACAATTATTGCAAACATACGGGAAACAAAAATCAGATATGAAATGTTTAGTTGCACGAAATAATAATAATCCTGAAAGAGTTACTGAAAGGCATTTTCCGTCTATATATTCGAACGAGGCGTCAAAAAAAATCCAGTTCGAAAATATGTCGTCTGCAGTAAACGAGGAAAAGACGTGAGCCGAGATACTATTGTTCACAATGTAATGTTGGATTATGTGTGGTTCCATGCTTTAAAATCTACCACATCATAGTTGATTATTAATATTATGTTCGACTTTAAATACTTTAGTAAATTCGTTGTATTAAAAAATATTACATGAACATTATAATAAAATATTAAAAAAAATAAATTTGGATTATATTTATTTTATATTTTAGAAAGTAAGATGATATTACTGAATATAATAAATGTCATTGTAAAATTTAGAGAAAGAGAAACGACTTTTGATTATTTCGTAGCATTCCATTCTTCAGTGTCAACTACTCAGTAATGCGGTCCGTTTACAGCGATCGCATTGTGACGCAAGCGCTCCGTAGCGAAAGGTTTAATATTTAATATATAATCATCGTATATTGTGTGTGTACATATATGTATATATATGTGAGTGTTTGAGATTATTACTTGTCCCTTGCTCTCTTTCGTGTCCAGTTACGCTCTTTGCCTGTCGAAACATGTTCACGCGACGTCTTTGAATATCACCTCTCTACCCGATCTCTTTTTGCTTTCTTTCTTTTGCGAGACCGTCACTTTAGTCTCTCCGGCCATTAGTCACGCTTTGTCTCTCTAAACTCGCATAGCGCCTAATTTCTCGTGAATCTACTTTCATTAAAATTATAATTTTTAATTAATGAAAAGTGAGCTTCCTGTGTTATTTATTTCACGTGGATATTATCCACATATAGAATATGGTCCTTCAAGCCGATTATTGATGAATATCAGTAAAAAAAAATTGTGACAAACAACAGTAAACATTTTCATTCTCGCATGCAATACAGACAATCGATCGTTAGTGAGAATATGGTGAAACATAATCGAAAGACATTATGGCTATATCGATCATTTTTTTCGCAAAATTGTCGATCTTAAAGCAATGCGTTAGACATACATTTGTGCGTAGTACAACACAGTCTACGTTTTCAGAATCACACGTGTACCAAACGTTGCTAGATTTTCAACGATAAGCGTTATGATATAAAATCGTCCCGCAACAGTAGCATGCATCACACGAAGAAAAACACGTCGGCGTTGCGAAAAAACGTGTTCGGCGGTCACGGCGGTCGGTTCAATTTTCATTGGCGTTTGATAAATCACCAAATTTTTATTCTCTTTTACTCAATTATTCCTATATAATAGCTCTGTCTTGATATCATGTCGGTAGAAGACGTTAAAAGAGCAAAAGCAAAGCACAGTACGATTAAAGGCCGAAACATTTCTCGCTCGTTATTGTATTTAAATACCGTAATTCTCACACAATTACATCAGCGTAAAACAAAAATAGACACAATATGGGACAATATTAATCAGACTTAAATACAAATCAATTTGGCAAGGTGCAATTTCGCAAGAAGCAAAGACAAATTTCGAAGAATTTCAATATCATTTCTCGATTCGATGAAATCATAGCGATATAAGAGAGATCACAAGGAGAATAACGTAACGTGGGTCAAAATCACACTGATGATGAAAATCAAAATCAAAATGATAATCAAAATCGAAATTCACAAAAAGAATATATAAATAATAATTGGTGATTGCTGAAGATTGAATTTCTAATGCTTTCAGGTCGTTACAAAAAATCGTATTTATTTTACGAAACACTTCATTCGCTTATACCCAAAGTAGAGCATATTTCGAGCATACAAAAATTTCATTATTTGAGATCTTCGCTTTATGGTGAAGCTGCTGAGGTCATACCAGTTGCTCGTGGTTTCCGTGGATAATTATGTCGAGGTTTCGAGATGCATCGACAAATATATAGATAATAAATAATTGATCGTTCAAAAATACATAAAAGCGATTTTCGATTTCCCCTCCATGTTTAAGAAAATTACGCATGATTGCGATTGTTGATGATATGTCGAAGCACAAACGCGCCTTGAGAGCCTTAGGCCGAGCGAAAATCGAATGGGATGATCACCTCGTCTATGTAATCACAAGTAAGCTCGACGTTGTCACAAATCGAGAATGGGAAAACAGCTTAAGGGAACCAGAAATCCCGACCTTGCAGGATTTAACAATTTTAAATTTATGAATCGCAGATGATATATGTTGAAAATTATTCAAAGAAAAGCGTCACAATCGTCTACTCCTTCAATCCTCAACAAACAATGGCAAACAAAGCCGACTTCGCTCAACGTCACAAATCAAACTAACAAATGCCCCATTTCTAAGGACGAGCATTTCGAGATCATGTGCGAAACTTTACTGAAGATGCCAGTTCTGCAAAAGCAGTCAAGGACAACAAACTGTACCTGAATTGTTTACGATCTATCTTACATTGCACGAAAGATTGTCAAGTCGGTAGTTGCAAAACCTACTGCAACAGATACAACATGCTTATATATTCTTCCATTAATTCCACAAGGCGATTTGTCAAAACTAATCGAAAGATTTGCATCATATTATATCGGCAGCCACACATGCACTTCATGATCATGATAGGTCATAGGTCTGGTTGTCCACAACAATCATTCAGGTGTTGGACGTTGTAAAGACATTTCCGTCGATATTTGTTGGACAGATTAAGGTCACTGAAGATCATCCAATTCTTCAAAAAACTTTTTTTGGTTGGGTATTGGACGGATTGACGGAGACGAGGAAACAGACTGGAGCTCGCACCAATTTTTATCACAATCTTATCACAAATCAACAGCACAACACAATTTTCACGAAATTTGGGAAAGCGAGCAATGCCCACAGCGAGTTAATCGCACCACCGAGAAAAATCTTTGTGATTATTATTTTGTTCAAATTTATCACAGAAACGAGGACGGTCGTTTCGTAGTGCACCTTTTGTTCCAGATGGATACGACTGGACAGCTTGGCAATCTCAAGGGTACAGCATTGCGACGATTCAACGCATTGGATCGAAAGCTCGAAAAGAATGCGAAGGTAGGATTCAATTTTACGGAATTTCTTAGCGAGTATCAATGACTAAGTCACAGAAGTGAATCGAAGATCAAGATTTGTCGTCAGCGGAATATTATTTACCGCATCATCCAGTCAAAGAAACGTATTTCACAATAAAGTTACGTGTTGTGTTTGACGCATTTTGCAAGACATCGACAAGAGTTTCTCTCAACGACATACTCATGGTATGTCCAACTCTGCAGCAAAATCTCTTAGACCTAATTTTCCGATTTAGCGTATGGCAAGTTTGCTTTGATAACTCGCAAACAATATGAGCACACCTTATGGAGGACCGATCCAGACGAGAAGATCATAATATTCGACTTTAAAACAGTCACATACGGTACATACAAGCATTGCAAGAAATTGCGCATCTCGAAAGAACCAATTTTTCATTACAAGTGGTGATCATGTTGTCGGATTTTTACGTCGATGATTTGTTAACCGGCACAAACAATATAGACTAAGCAATCGTGATTCGCGATGAAGTGATAGCCATATTGATCAAGACTGAATTCAAAATCAGAAAATGGGCATAAAACTCGGCAGTATTTCAGAATTTTTCTAATTCGTTTTGAACGGAACCAGTCTTGACTCGACAAGAGCGAGCATTTTTTGACATTGGACTTATAGCTAAACTTATATAAATGAACATATACTCAATCATTTTAGCTATAAACATAAAAGTCCTTGTAATTCAAACCTAATTAATCTTGAAGACTTGGAATCTTATTAAACCAAAACTTCTTTTGTTTTCTAATGAGAATATTTTTAGAAATCTAGGATTACTTTTTATGGAATACGAGCAATCGATATTAATTTATTTCAGAATCAATCCCATCTACGAAATGCTG